TATATATATATATAATGTTAAATTATTTTATACTATATCTGGGTGCAGAGAAGAACTTTTACATAAAAGAGTGCAAGTATGTGGCCAAAATAAAGGAGATAAGTTTTCACTCTCTGCATACCATAGGACACCCCTGGAATTACCCCACAATGCTCTTTCAGTGCGCCATAATTGTGCTGGAGTAAGCTTTATTACAAAAGCAGCAATATGACCGAAGTTATACCTGGCCATAAGTTTTCTGACTGCCTTTTTTCTTATTGTTTTCCAGGATTGATGATGAACCTCCAGGATTATCACTGCTTCCAGATCATCTACTGCAAGTGCTCAGGCTCCAGCTGCTGTATTGTGTGCAGAAAACCGCTGATGGCCTAGAAGAGGAACAGCAGACACTTTCACTATTGCTTGTGAAATTCTTCATAATCATTTGCAGGTAGATGCATCAAAAAATATTTTCCCAGATTTTATCTTGCAGCCTTTTGATTCAAGTACAGATATGTTTTGTGTACTCCTAGCCTATAATTTTGGGTTGTATGTAAGAGCTTTGTGATAATACTGGTTCCATAGTGGATAGAATACAGTCCAGAGTGGGTACCCAGAAAGATCATGTAATGAAATGATGTCCTATACCACCCAGGATAAAAAAAAAATGTGTAGCATTCTACTTGAAACATCTGTTTGATGACTTATGACTGTTCTAAGGCAAGGGATATAATAAAATATACCATAAAAGAACAATTATCTGTAAAAGAGAGTCATTATTTTGCAGGATATTTTATACTGTCTGATGGGCTTCTTCCAGTTATAATATTCAAGAGTATGTTTTCATTCTCACGCTTTAATATTAGAAATTAGAAATTTTATGAGCCATATAACCAACAAAAAAAACATTGACTTATTTTCTAACAATATGTGAGCCAGGCAGAATATTTTTTTTATTCAAAATATATCTAAAGCCAACCCATATTATCTATTTTGGAAAGCACCAAGATTTCTTAACCACTTGAAGACCGTGGTGTTAAACCCCCTTCCTGTCCAGGAAGCTGTACTGAAATTAATTTGATAGAATTTGTTTTGGTACAGATAGAGCTTTTGTTTGGCGGTATTTAATCACCACTGGGTTTTTTATTTTTTACTATATAAAGAAAAAAGTACCAAAAATTTGGAAAAACAAAACAAAAACAGTTTCCCCTACATATTATCAAACATTTTATTATTACCCAAATTTTTGGTAAAATCTAAAAGAAGGGGTCACCTCGTTAAATAGACACCAAATATGTCGAGCTTTAAAATTGCGCATGCCCACAAAATTACAAAAAAACTACCATACCCAAAATTGGCCATAAGCGACACTTTAAAAGCTTTTAACGCGTATCAGTTTAGTGTTATCAGTGATTGATTTCAATTTAGCTGGCTATTGCCCGAGATATACTCTTTTTTTAAAATATGCGACTTAATTGTCTTTATGTTACTTTAGTTTTTTTTTTTACTTTTTTTTTTTTTCTTTACAGTTTATTGCTATTACATAGGGGGCTAAGAAGCTTCACCAGCTTCTCTCTGGCTACAGAAGGCGGAGAATGACAGCTGAATGTGGAAGTGATGTAATAAACATCACTCTTGCATTCAGAGACTGAAGAGAGATCAGTGGGAGAACTTGTGCTGTCCTCCCTCCGATCTCCAGTCACAGAGACGCTGTGCTGGTCCTGGACACAAATGGGGCACAGCGCACACTTAATGCATCATACAAGCGATCGGACGGCTCTATAACTGCCCAAACACTTGTATGTAAACAGCCATAGCCGGCTGTTTAAAATACAAACATTTTTCCCGCTCGGGGCCGGGCAAGGATGTTAATAAATGCCCACCCGCATTCAGGAAACCACAGTCCGACCATTCAATTACAACGGCCGGACGTAAGGTGGTTAAAGTACCCATCTTTTTTTTTTTTGTACATCTGCGTTCCTTTAGGGTGACTTTCCCCTCAGTTCAGTGTCACCAGGACAAATAGGAGGGAGTAAATCTCCCTCACTGGGACACAGACAGCAATAAAAACCTGACAGGTTCCAACCCCTCTCCACCCTATCCAACAAAAACACATTTTGGCTTTAGATATATCTGAAGATTGAGGACAATCAGATAATACTAACAATAACACCTCCTCATGTATCATTTGCCCCTCCCTTTTAGATTGTAAGCCCTCATTGGCAGGGCCCTCGTTACCATCTTGTCTTAAATTATATTGTGACTGTAATGTCTTCCTTATATTGTTAAGCGCTATGCAAACTATTGGCGCTATATAAATCCTGTATAATAATAATAATAATGTGTCCAAAAACTGACGGTAAAGGATCGTATGGTGTCATTTCAATAGGCTCTTATTCTGTGTTTTACCTTAAAGTTTACCTTAGAGTTTACCTTAAAGTAATTTTTTGTGTGACTTGTACTTTTTTCAAGCTTCATTGTCCTTTTTTGGTATTTTAATAAATGTAGAAGTTCTTAAATTAACTACTGGGGGCAGGGAGGATTAGCTACTACAATTACTCTAACTGCTTAATAACTGTTGTTAGAAGATATCAGCCAAACATGGAGTGCATTGTTTCTAATAACTCTGAATCATATATGTCTCCTTTTAAGATGTCTCAAAAATGGACTGGTGGACGATCAAGAAAAGTTATGTTAGATTTCTACAAGTATTCACACCATTTATAGGCTTTCTTGGCCTTTTGAGACTGGTGGATAGTTGTCCAGATATGAAACAGCTATTTGTGCACATACAGGTGAAAACTCAAATAATTAGAATATCGTGCAAAGTTCATTTATTTCACTAATGCAACTTAAAAGGGGAAACTAATATATGAGATAGACTCATTACATGCAAAGCAAGATAATTCAAGCCGTGATTTGTCATAATTGTGATGATTATGGCTTACAGCTCATGAAAACCCCAAGAACCCCAAATCCACAACCTCAAAAAAGTAGATTATTACATGCAATCAATAAAACAAGGATTGTACATAGAACAATATCGGACCTCTGAAAAGTACAAGCATGCATATGTACTCAGTACTTGGTTTGGGCCCCTTTTGCAGCACTTACTGCAATTACTTTTGCATGATATTCTAATTATTCGAGTTTCACCTGTAGAT